ACTTTGAAAGGAGTTTAGTAAAAAAAAAAATGATTGATAAACAATGGCAGACATTCAAGAAGATTGTTCATGATTCAGATATATAAAGATATATCCAGTAAGGAAGAAGGATTCTAGGAAGGGGATAAACCATGGTTAATCAAGGATGTTAAAGATAGTATTTATTTTTTCCAATCTATTGACAAAAAGATTTGGTAAGTTTAAAAGCTAATGAAAAAAAAGAAGCTAAACTGAGGGTTAACTAACATGTAACATAGGAATGACAGGAAGAGCTTTTTAAATTTATGAGAATGAAGAGAGAGGCCAAAGGTAATATAGGCCCCATAGATAATAAGGCTGGCAAAATAATAATAGGGAACCAGAAACGGCAGTGGCACTGAACATATGCTTTTCATCAATCTTCACTGTAGTTGATACTAATACCATTCCAAAAATACTAAATAATCAAGGGACAAGTGGGGAGAGGGGAGGAAGTAAATACAATAACTATCAACAGAGAAATAAATAGGAAATCTAATGGCGATGTAACACCCTTATTCAGAATGGAAGGAGGCATGAGCAGGTAACTATAGGCTAATTTGCTCAAAAGGGAATCCAGTGGTTGTAATATATTTGGGTTTCCAAAAATATTTGATAAAATATTGCACATGGTAATAGGGTAGTGTATTTATATGCACAAAGGATTGGCTAATTAATAGAATACAGAGTTAGAATAAAGGAGATATGTTTGGGATTGCAACCTGTAACTACTGGATTGCCACAGTTATTTACAACATGTATTGATCACTTGAATGAGGCAAGTGGGCGTATTGTCCAGTTTGCGGATGACACAAAAATAGGTGGGAAGGCAAGTCATCAAGATGCCACAAGGAGTCTACAAATGGATGTAGTCATAATCATAATCCCAGAGGATCTTAGGGCTGCCCTCTCATTAGAGAGAGGCGACTGGTAGGAGTTTAACCTGAAGTTCACCACACTTCCGGCAAGGATGAGAAGGCAGGGACTTCTTGGTAAACTCAGCCTGTGAAAGAATTGAACCTACACTTGGTGTCATTCTGTGTTACAAATCAGCTGTCTAGCCAACTGAGCTAACTGATTCACAAGACGGATGTGTACAAGTTAAGCAAGTCGGCAAAAATTTGGCATGTGGAATATATTGTGGAAAGATGTGAGGTTATGAACTTTGGCAGGAAGAGTAGAAGAGCTGAATATTATTTAAATAGAGAAAGGTTATAGCGCAGAGGGATTTGAGAGTCCTTATACATAAATGAGAAAACAAAACTAGTCTACAAATTGAGTAAGTAATTAGGAAGGCAGATAGATTGTTTGCCTTTACTTCTATATATTTTCTTTATTGTTTTATTTATACAAAAATAAAGAATTCTTATTAAACTGTACAAGGCATTAATTAGACCACACCTAAAATACTGTGAATACTTTTGATCCCTTTCTCTAAGGAAAGATGTGCTGACATTGGAAGTAATCCAGAGAAGGTTCACTAATCCCAGGAATGGAGAGGCTCCTGTTATTAGGAGAGTTTGAGTAGGTTGGGACTGTATTCACTGGAGTTTAGCAGAATTAGGAGCAACCCTTTAGGGAAGGTTATCTAGTAGGATCTAAAAGTGACTGCTGACACAGAAATGTGGTTGACTTTTAAGTGCCCTCTTGCAATACTGTTTCAGTGACTAACCACCACAGTAACTAACTAAACAAGATTAAACTCTCAATCCAGGCCTCATTCTGAATTCTGACTTGTTGAGTAGTTGCAACAGCTGAGATCAAAAGAGGCTCTTGACCAGGCCTTGAATTCATTGTTTAAGAGGAATGTGGGGTCCATATTGAAGAAATGGGTGAGTAGAGGTTTTGGACATCAACAAGAGTGTTGTGGCGAAGTTTATTCCACAGATTGGATAGTCAAAAAAGTATTGAATGTTGATGACACTTTGTTTGGGACCAGAAGATACAATATGGATTATTTGAAATCTTTGGCTAAGGCTAGGCTGAGCGAGCACATGAATTGAAACTAGAAATAAACAGGGTCTTATGCACATAAGATAGAATTGCTTAGAATTAGAAGCAGATCAAACCTGAAATTAAAATTCATTGCTGGAATTAGTTGATATTCAGATGGATTTTTTTTAAAAAACTTAAATTGGAGGGAAAAGAGAGAAATAAAATGAAAAGATTTGAGTTGGAAGTAAAAAGAGAAGGGAAGATGAAGAAAAACAAAGAACAGTGGAAAGAGAAGAGAATGAAAAGGTATCAGCACTGGAAAAGTGGACAAAGCAAAAAGGCAAGGAAGTAGAAATTTAAAAAGCTTGAACTCCAAAGAGATGGATTATCAGACAACATGACATGGCCAGAGAAAAGCTAGAATAAAGAAGGAAAGAAGAGTCAGTATTCAGAGGACGTTTCTGATTCCAATGAAAGGTTTGATTCAGTTAGAAATACATGCAAGGTCCCTAAATTTACTGAGGATGGAGTTGAAAATCTGAAAATCTCATTTTGAAAAAGTAGCTGGGCAGATAAAGTGGCCAAAAGATTTTGGACCTTAACTTTACAGTGTGTTTTGACAGGTAGACCTATGAAGGTGTAATCCAGTTAATCAGAAGAACAATCTGTGACTATGAAATAATTAAAAAAACAATACTTAATGTTTATCAGCTTGTCCTTGAAGAATATCAACTAAAATTTATGGTTACAAAAAAGAAACCTAGCAGACATCTGTAGAACCCACAAGTGAAAAGTAAGTACTGCGGGATCAGTGGCTTTGATCACTGTAGTTAGAGAAAGGTTTTAAGAAGGTAAGAGACCATCACTGTTATGGAATATTTCAGAAATGGAAGAGGTACTGGTTTTAGGGAGCAGGCAGAAGGATACCAAAGTAGACATGCTAGAACCCGAGGTGATAAGAAAATAATCTACTTCCATTGTTAAAAAAACCCACATACCAAAGCTAGTTGTTGGAAGTTAAATTGGAGACTGATTGGACTAGTAGGAATGCCCAAGAAATCCACAGAAATGGTGATATTAGAAAATAATTGCTGTATTGAAATGGTAGCTAAAATACACAGAGAACATGTTTCTGTGAGAATTTACTAAGAGGAGAGAGATGACTTGGTCAAGAAAATTATTTTTTAATTATTGTTGAACAGAATTGATCCACTGGAGGGGGAGGTTCTGAATATCTTATTTCAAAACGAGAGCTATTTCCTGTATTTCAAACCAAAAAGCTAAAGAATAAAAACATTGAGAGACACTGGAGCAGGTCAGTCTGGTTGATAATATCATTTGTCTTCCAGAAGGGTTAACAATGTATTAATTGGAGGTATACATTGAGGTTACAAACTGATTCAATTATACAGAGCTGGATTAAAGAGTGACTGAGTAAATGGAGAAGTTGTAGTTGGAGTAGTGCAACAAATCCTAGAAGGAAATTGAATCAGAGATAGTAGGAACTGCAGATGCTGGAGAATCCGAGACAACAAGGTGCAGGGCTGGATGAACACAGCAGGCCAAGCAGCATCATAGGAGCAGAGAGGCTGACGTTTCGGGCCTAGACCCTTCATCAGAAAAGCTCTTACAGGAGGAACATCCCAAATCGTTTCCTGACTCTGTTGTGATACAATCTCGGGCCTGTTGAATTTGTCAAGAAGAAGAATCATCTGCGCAAAAAGGAGTTAACTTGGAACTTAGGTTATTGGTTGCAATTTTTGAAAAATGATGAAAGTAAAGAGAATGGGGCTCACATGTTTAGGCCATCTGTTTTTAATAGAGATATAGCAAGCAGATTTTAAATTGAGAGAGTTGTATCACATAGCCAACCTAGAAATTGAATTAGAACTAATACCTGAGTGTTATTATTTGAAAGGCAAAGTACAGCTAAGGAAATTGAGATCAGACCAAAGTGAGCTGATGAGGACTGGGCAGCAGTCCATCAGGCAGAGCCCCATCTGAGTATCAAAATAAATTTTTACGAGTGGCTCACAGAATTCCAATGGCAGGTCACTCAGGTATTAGGAAAACCCAGGCTGAAGTAATAAAACATCGTTATTGGTCAGCATTACATGAAGATGTGGTCAAATTTTGCCACAGGTGCCATACATGTCAGGAGGTGGGGAAACCCCAAGCATCAATAAAACCTACACTTTTAATCCCAATGCCACCTTTCAAAGAATTATGCAACAAGGTCTTGATATGTTGCTTAGGAGTTCTACCTAAAACCAGGAATGGGAATCAGCATCTGTTAACAATTATGAATATTTTTATTTACATACCAATAACCATATGTTGAATTAAGCAGTAAAATTCTTTGAGATTTACAGAAGTTTTGTTATAATTCTATACATCATCACAAGCAGGAGTTTCCACCTTTTTCTGTCCAGAAGCCAATGCTGCCACTGATGAAGAACTTAATTCTAAATCCAAAATCTAATTAATATCACTTACTCTTAATTACTCTTAATCAACTTTGGAGCAGTTCTGGTTTGCCCTTAAAGGGGTCTGTATTTCTACTAGTGATAGTTTCAACTAGATTCCTTGAAGTAGCACCTTTGGAAATATACACAGCAAAATAATAATGAAAATGTTCATGTCATTTTTTTTGTAAGATATTAATGACACAATGAATCAAGCCAAGTTTTATATTACAAATATTCAAATAAATCATTCACGGTTTGTGACTAAAACAATTTACAACTTAGCTTTATCATCTACAACGCTCAGGAAGCTTGGAAAGATTGGATCAAGTGTAAAGACTGTGATTAGAACTTAGACTGGAATATACAAATTGGTTTGTTACTGTTTTCTATTAGGGATCCTCCTAATAGATCCACAGCATTCAGCTCTTTTAAACTGATATAGACGTGAGGTGAGAAGTCTATCTAAATTGTTTAAAGAACTTTAGTTTAAGTACCATTCATGCAGATATTTGAATGGAGGAACTTTATGAAACAATTTATAAATGTTATTTTCAAAACTCATTCCTCTCGTACTTTTAGTTGTGTGCTTCGATGCCAAAATCAACTTTGATGACAATGCAGAATTCAGACAGAAGGAAATCTTTTCTCAGAATGATACATCAGAAAGTGATCCCCTGGAATGTGAAGCAGCAAAGTATGACCTCAAGTACATCGGTATGGACGGAAATATTGCTTGCTTTGGTAAGTGGAGCAAGTGAGTTAAGCTATTGGAAAGAATTTTTAATTGAATGAAAAATCTAATATTTCTTTGCCATATTAAAAAGAGAGATTCTTTGTTGATACACCCAGAAGCAATTGTAAAATGTTTTGATTGAAAGGAGCTGTCTGAGTAATTTTCTTCGACAATACAATGTCATGTTTGTCAGTTGAATTTTGTTTTTAGTCAGTTTGAATTTGAAATTGTTGAGTTATTGTCATTGCATTCTCCAGTTAAACACTGGAAAGACCATAGGCATCTTATTTGGTCATTATGAAAAAATACATAATCTTCCTCGCAATCTCTATACTCTGTTTCACAGTGAACTAAGGTTTAAACTGCCAAATCCTGTTCGTTATTAAAATGTAAGCTTAGTCTGATCATTGACTAAACCCCAGTACCTTCTTTAGCTACTTCATTTCTGAATGAACCTGCAGAGACACCTTCCAAATTCCTCATATATTCTCTAATTCATCCACAATTTTAGTACAAAGGACTGAATTTTCTAAAATTTTGGAGAATTTCATGAAGGGCTTTTCTCTGTCTGAGCTGTAGCGTGTTATCTTGAGCAATTCTGCGCCACTCACCTCATTAAATTTTATCACATCTCTACAGCACCATGCATGCACTATCTTGCTTGAGGCATTCACCACTGCTGGGATCTTCCAGGATTTCTGCCGCCAGGGTCATATTTAAAGCCCAGATTTGCATCAGGTTAATTGCTGCCAGCTACAAATAATCCTTTTCAGTTCCTGTAGTGGGAGGGAAATGAAAAGGAAAACCTTTCGGGAGCACATAGGTTGTATTAGATTGGAAGTAGAAGCTCGCGTTTGTAAATGTTTTGCTATTTTACATCATCACCTGTCTGACTGTCACAGTAACTGCAGCTACAGGAATCAAGCTACACAGGCTATTGTGTTAGAAACTCTCTAAGTGAATGCTACTGTTTCCCTACCACCCAGTGTACCATAACATCTTTTCATGGTTCGACATGGGAACGTCACATGTTGGAAATATGCAAGAAACCCTATGTCATTGGTACCAACATGTACAATGACCTCCTGCCGGTCACTCTCCCTTTTGAGAATATTCTGCACCCTCTCTGAGACATCCTTGATCCTGGCACCAGAGAGGCAACACACCATTCTGATGTCTCGCTGCGTCCCTGACTAGAAAGTCCCCTATCACAATCGATCACTTGGAATTTGATGTGCCCCTCATTACGGTATAGCCAGTTTCAATACTAGAAACCTGATACATTTTCCAAAATACTCTAGTTGTTTGAGAAGGGGACCCACTCTACCTACCTACCTCTCCTAGCTTTCCTGGAGATAACCCATCTACCTGACTGTGGAGAGAAGGTAGAGTTAACGTTTCTGGTCCAGTGACCCTTCTTCAAAACTCAGACTTGTGGCATGTAAGCTTTGGAAAGGCTTTGTGGAGGCTGATGGCAATTCTCATCGCAGATTACTAACCAACTAACCTTGTTGGAACTGCGTTTCTGCTAATTAAGAGCCCAACTCTCACTGATCCTCAGAATAGTGATGATCAGATATTCAATGGTGTGAATTCTATTAAATATTAATGAGAGATGTTTAGAATTTCTCATGTTAGAGATGGCCATTGCAGAGCTGTTGTATGGCCCAAATGTTATTTTGCTTTATCAGATCAAGCCTGGGTATTGTTCAGGTCTTACTTTATGTTGATACAGACTTCATGATCATGTAACATTTCTGAAAGGTCTTTTCTATTCTATACTACCACATGCTGCTGGGTGAATTTAGCATGTGGCACTAGGGCTTACCAAAATGACAAACAGATCCTGCTAGAGCTTCAGGAAACTAAGTAAGATGTTTAGTTGTTAATGCGATTCCAATGTACACTCCTGATACCACCACAGTACTTGTAGGACCATATGCTTCCTTTCTGTTATGTTGAAAGTTCAGGATTTCTTAGAATGGGTGCTAATTATATTTCTAGCCCATTTGTTGTAATAGTTTTGTATTATCCCTCTTTATGTTGTCTAATTATTGTTTACAAGCGACTGTATTTATTTACACCTGGTTTATTATCTCAAATTTTCACCTTTTCAGTGAAGATGCACTTCTGTGTTTTTCATTAATCAAGGAGTAAGAAAAGAAACGGTCTTTAAATTTACATCTCTAGTCGAAAAAGTACTACTGAATTGCTGATAGGACTAAAAAGGGTTGCCTTCTATTTTGGGTGTCACAACGGTATAAGCCTGTTCAGCCTTGTTGGGCCATCTTCCATGCAAATCTCCTTCTTTTGTCAGTATTGTTAAAACTTGAAATTTTCAGATGAAACTGTTCATAATGTCCTAATCTTTTATGCCTTTCTGTATTGTAACAACTGGTGTGCTAGAAGATGATGCCTTGCAAAATTGTATAAGATGATATTTCAATTATAAACAGTTAATGGAGCTGGCCTTGCAATGGCTACCTGTGATATCATTGAACTTCATGGAGGAAAACCAGCAAACTTCCTTGATCTGGGTGGTGGTGTACAAGAGAATCAGGTGTACCAAGCCTTTAAACTACTAACTGCAGATCCCAAGGTAAGGCAATGTATTTGTAAACATTTTTTTGTTAGGAGAAAGGAATATATAATAACAAGTGTTTTTGCACTGGCAGTTATTTAACGGGTTTGTAAATAATTTAAATTTTAATGAAATTATTTTAATTAAACACTGAATGCACAAACACTAAATTGTTCGATGATTAATGCATGTGCATTTTCATGAGCACCAGTGATCTGTAATTATCTATGTAATATTGTACTGTAGCCACAAAACTATTTGTCTATAAATTTATGCATTCGCATCTGGCTTATTTACAAATTAGGAAAGTGCTAACCATCGACTGTGACTTAGCTTAATACTAACAGGGGAAATAAAATCTAAATGTGAATCCACATAGCCTACCTGTGATGTTCACCAAAATTTACTGTTCCATTACGGATGCTACTCTTTCCCAGAAATCTAGGTAAGCTGAAGCCTTCTGTGAAGGAGGAATTGAAGGAAATTAGCATTAGATAAAAGAAAGTAATGCTCAAGAAATTAATGGGACTAAAAGCAGATAAGACCCAGGACCAGATTAATCTACTTTACAGGGCGCTAAAGGAGGTGGGCATGTAAGTAGTGCATGCATTGGTTGTCACTTTTCAAAATGCTGCAGGTCCTGGAATAGCCTCCGCAGACTGGACAGTGACAAATGTACCACCATAGTCGCAGATCCATACAGCATGGAAACAGACCCTTCGGCCGACCAATTTTACCAAACTAAACTAGTCCCACTTGCCTGCATTTGGCCCATATTCCCCTATGCCTTTCTTATTCATGTACCTGTCCAAATGTCTGTTAAATGTTATAATTATACCTGCATTTACCGCTTCCTTTGGCAGCTCATTCCACAAGTGAATCACCCTCTGCGTGAAAAAAATACCTTTCAAGTCCATTTTAAGTCTTTCTCCTCTCACCTTAAAAATGTGCCCACCAGTTTGAATTCCTCAACCCTAGGGAAAAAACCTTTGCTGTTCACTTTACCTGTGCCCCTCATAATTTTATAAACTTCAATTAAGTCACACCTCAACCTTCTATGCTCCAGTGAATGAAGTCCCAGTCTAACCATCCTATCCTAATAACTCAAACCCTTGCGTCCTGGCAACATCCTGGTAAATCTTTTCTGAAGCCTGTCCAATTTAATAATATCCTTCCTATAATTGGGTGACCAGAACTGGACACGATATTTCAGAAGGGGTCTCACCAAAGTCCTGTACAAGCTGAACATGGTGTCCCAACTTCTATACTCAGTAGTCTGAGCAAAGAAGGCAAGCATGCTAAATGTCTTCTTAACAACCCTGTCTATCTGTGATGCAACTTTCAAAGAACTAGGTACTTGAACCCCTAGGTCTCTCTGTTTGACAACATTACCCAGGGCCCTAGCATTAATTAATAAGTCCTGCCCTCAACCCCTCCAACAACTCACTACTGATGTCAAAGGAATTACAGGGGGAAGTTAAGGTGGAGTTCTGGAGACTCTGTTTAGCCTAACAACAGTAGTAGGAAAAATGCTGCAGTCTATTAAAAGAATGTGATAAAGTGGACACTCCAGTCCACTCTATGAGTAGGGTGTAGCTGACTGAAGATTAAAAGTTACCACCCATATCTGAACAGTCGAGTACCAATCCTGCGGACACGCTGCTCAGATATTGATCATTTCGATGATGACATTGAGATAATATCATCATCTGGTCACATAGGACAGCATTACTTGTTTCTGAACTGGACAGGGGCTGAGAAAAGATGGCCTAAATAATGCTTGTCAACCCACCACCCAATTAGCTGACTATGATCAACGGGCATCTCTGTGATCGATACAAAGACATAAACTTCCAACCTTAGCTCAAATGTGAAAAAAATAGAAAAATTATGAAATTCACCCACTGGAACACGAGAACAATGAATGCTCAACTTTCGTGACACCCTCAATGATGTTCAGCATAGGTGGCCCATGAGGTAGCCAGATTAGACCTTGAGAAAGTAGCCCTGAGTGAGGCCTGTTTCTCAGAGCAAGGCAGCCTGACAGAACTCAAACTCTGGATATACCCGCGACTGGCCAGATCAACCTCAAGGTGAACAGGCCTGTTTGGTGATGGTTTTAATGTGAAGAAAACTGTTAATCATTAAACTTTCAAGCCTGCCAGTCAACCATTCTGAACACGTCGTGTCCCTGCACCTTCCCATCCAAAAACAGCAGCAGGCAACTCTCATCAGCGAATGCTGTCCAATCTTGAAGACTAACCTACCTGACAGGTTAAGTTCTACACAGATCTCCATGAACTAATCCAGTTAGTCACTCCCAAGGACAACATTGTCATCTTTGACAATTTCACATCAGTGTTGGCTGCGAAGGCGAATGCTCAAAACTGATGAAGTGGAGACTGCAGTATAAACGGACATCTACTCCTGGAAACCTGTGCCGAGCAGCAGTTTTCCACATGCGAAACCTTCTTTCAACATAAAGATCATTTTGAGACCCCATCCATGCAGCCCCACTCTAAACACCGGTGTCTAATAGACTGCATCTTGGTGTAGCAGTGTGACCTACATGGCATTCTGTATGCTGGAGTTGTGTCCACTGCTGATTGGCGTACAGACCACTGGCTCATTTGCTTAAATTTGACCTTCCATTTCTAGCCTTAGCCCAAGAAGAGTCCTAGAGAGAAGCTAGGCAAGATATTTTGAGTCAGCAACCTGTAAACCTCATCCTGCAGAGATAGATATCAAACAGTCTTAGAGATCAGATTGTAACAACCTGATTTCACTGCTGATTCTATTCCAGCAAAACTCTGGGAACACAAAACTACTTGCAACAAGATCTTTGGACCCAGCACAAGAAAACCAGGGACTAGTTTGATAAAGATAGTGAGAAAATCCAAAATCTGCGAGTCCGAAGTCCTATGGCTTATATTCTTATTAAAGACATCAGATCACAAAGCTCAGTTGGCTAGCCAAGAGAAAAATACAATCGACCATTAAACGTGCAGCACATTTCAGTGAAAACTGCAGAGCTTCCATAATGACTGATGGATCACCTTTACAGAAGAAAGACTCATTTGTATGTTGATACTTCGACATAAGAAGTTTCTATGAAGCACTAAAATTTACCTGTGGACTATAGCATATCAAACTCAAAACCCCCTGAGGAATGCTGGAGTCAGACCTGGATCACTTGTTATGACATATTGAAATACTCTTCAGCACCAACTGCACAGTACCAAAATGAAAGAGGAAAGAATAAATCCAGTTGTCCACAGCAGCGACCATACCTTCACTTCACCCTGCTGTGGGAGAATTTAATGATCACGATCAGGCCTGACTAGTCACTACTGGTGATTACAGTCTTCATCCATGAAGCGATGTCTGGAAGATGCTAAACATTTTTTTAAAAATTGATTAGGCCCCAACTGTTTGATCAGTTGTGGCAACAAGTACTGGGATGTTTTCAAGGCCTTAGTGTGTAGATGTGATTTACTAGAATGGTATCAGGGTTGAAAAACTCCAGTTACATGGACAGACACAAGAAACTGGTATTGTTCTGCTTGGTACAATGAAGATTAAACGGAGATTGAATGCAAGTGTTTAAAATCATGAAGGTCTTTGATATGGTAAATAAAGAGAACCTGTTTTCAGGAGCAGATGTACCAGCTCTGGAGAAAGCAGATTAGCATGAGATTTTTTTTCTTGCAGAACAAGTTTTTTGGATCTGGAATATACAGAAAATGGGATAGATACTTGAACAGGAAATTTTACCTCATTATGGGTAATGACTAATTGGAGAGCTTTGACAAAGAGCCGACACGGGCTTGATAGGCCAAATGGCCACCAACTGTTATGTTCTGTGTTGAAAATTTGATCATGTTAGAGAACATACCTGGAGCTCAGAGGGGAGCAAAAGAGGAGATTTTAATGAATCACATTGACCATAATAGTGTTCTTAAGAAACACATTCAGCAAAATTATGTCATGGAAGCAATAGAGATTGAAGTCTAGAGTTGGGACAGAAGATAATCCAGAAGTATTACCTTGTATTGTGCCAATGTACGTGACAGGCTCTAGGAGGTTACTCTAAGTTTGGCAATGCAATTCAAAGCGCACAGGAAGACTGTGTTAACATAATAATTAATTTGCCTATGGTATCATTAAAGTTCTGAGAGTGTCTGGCATCCCAAAATGCTATCAAATATCAAAGTGTAAGCAATCCATTCTAGAAAGGAAATTATAATTCTTTGTGGACTGATGTGTATAGTTTTCTTTATGCATTGTGTTAGCTTTGCTTTATGTGATATGATTTTGAAAAAAGAAGACTAAGTTTAAGCCTAATTGGAATAGTAGGATGGTTTAGTACTTCGTATTTTTTGGAGTAAGCAGTAGAAGGTCATGGATATCTCATTTTCTCTAATACAACTTTACTATGGTTAATGATAAATTATTACTGCTGCAGTACCATGCTTATAAGCAGGTCTGTTTGCCAAATGGACATTGTACATATTATAATGTATTTAATTATACATTCTACAGCCAGATTTCCATTCTTTTCTCTGTGTACAGTGTAAAATATCTCAGTATTCCAGGTGCATAGTATATATAAGCATAGCATCCATCACTTTAGTATGTTTGGAAATTCTTGAACTTGTTCATTGGAAAAATTACAGTTTTGAGTTTTGATAACAATGCCACATTGCGAATGGAAGTTGAAGGCAGATTAATAAAATTAGTATATCCTGCATTGTCATTTAGACTGATACAACTCCTTTCAAAACTTTAAGTTGAGAGAATGAACCTTTCAGTATACTTCTAGCACTCTGAGTTATGATGCAAGTTTGGGTTTCAACAGTATTTTCAATTTCACCTTGTATTTTTGTTTTTAAAAATCTGGATAGTCAAAAAAATTTGTAGCTGCTGACCTAAATTTACTTATCTAAAAAGAGTTTCATTGTGCAGGAAATTGGGAAATCTTAAATATATATTGAAAATAAATTCAAAAATTGATATAG